TCAGATGCAGTGGACTTTTGTTTTTTTTTAATCTTTTAGTGAATTCACTATTTTTGATATTTTTTCTTAAAATATTTTAAATCATTAGCATTCTGCATAAGTTATTATCCACCTTAAAATAATTTTATATTGCATATTGCCCAGTAAAATGGATTTGAATCATCTAGCAATCTCTGTTGATGAAGATACGACTTTAAACCTTTGCGTTCTTATAAAGGCTTTGTTTTTCTTCATTTGTAGCCTGAGGATAAAACTCAATGGGTGAATTTCCAAAAACAAAGCAAAAAACAAAAATTAAGATGTTGTACACAGTGTCTAGTGAAAAATAGTAGCTTGATTTTTGATTTTTATAGTCCATTTAATTGGCCTTTCCCTGGGCCCAAAGGCAACAACATTGATTTTTTTTTTCCTTAAGCTATAAAAAATATGTTCACATCTTCCACCAATGCGTTTTAATTTTTCGTACAACATGGACCAAATATGTCAAAGGAATCTAATTTTAAAGTTCTGTCTGTTGCAAGAAGCTTTAGAGACAGTAGATGGCAAAAATTTGAAATACGTTTTTAGACATCCTTAACTCAAGTGCTAGTGTGCCAAGTTGTAGAAAAACCCCGTTCTTTCATTTTTCAATAGGTAAAAACTGTATGTTTTTACCAATGTCCCCTACCTAACTTTTCTTCAACTTCATAATTATAACATTCTCATGAATTTCTTTTTGAAGTCATTCTTTGGATTAATTTGTTTGCCCATGTCCCTAATTTTGAATCAGAAACCGGAAGAGCACAGAGATAAACTCAAGGTTAAAGTAATCAGCGAACAGCAGCTGGAAATAGCATGCATTATGAGATCCCATTTTGGAACTTGTCTTCTCAAGTTTTTACATCTTCATTATTGATATTTTACAGCTATCAAAGTACTGATGTGGTTTAGTAGCAGAGAAAGTATGAAATGTGGGTACTTTTGTCACGTTTCTGATTCTTTCTCTTTTAAGGATTTACTTATATTATTCTGTAGCCTCTGTACATGTGTGTCTGTGTGGGTTTATGCATGTGAGGACAGTGCACACAGAGGCCAGAAGAGGTGGTCAGATCTCCTGGAGCTGAATTTATAGGAGGTTGTGAGGCACCATGTGGGTGCTGGGAATCGAACCTGGGCCCTCTGCAAGAGCATCCAGTGCTCTTATCCACTGAGCCATCACTCCAGCCCTGATTTTTACATTCATACATATTTAAAAGTGTTGGCTCTAGGCAGAGTCTAACTGAGAATCAGACGCTACTTGGGGGTTTGGAGTCAAGCAGCCTTTGGTGTTGGAAGAGGACTGCAGGGCAGCATAGAGATGGACAGCGCTGAAGTTCCTGCCACCCTCAGGTAAGAAGGATGGAACAAAGGAATGGGATGATGGCTGAAACCTCAGAGCCATTGGAACGATGTCCAGGGAAAAGTGGGCGCACTGGAAAGCCCGAGAACCTTCTGAAAAGAGGAGGATGGGTAATGCCGATGTTCCTTTGGCTTTGCTTTGTCTCCCTCCTTCCAAACTTCCACAGCTGGCATCTTCCTTTGTATGAACCAGCTGGAAGCCAGCTGAATGGGGCATCTGAGAAAGAGGCTACTTTCTGCCTGGGCACAGAACAGGGAGATGGCAAGAGACCCAAGCCTGGCAGAAGTTGGCTGCAAAGCACTCGTATCCTGCATGTTAAAAGGCCGTGGGACTCAGGGAACACTACATTTAGTGGGAAAATTAAGTTTCCATCCTCCATAGTTTTTCAATATTTCTTTGTTAATTACCTTGTAATAATGATTTTCCTGAGTCTGAAAAGTTTATTTATAAAACTATGAAGTTGAATGACTGCAGTTGCTTGTTCCTGGTCCTTTTCTTGAATTCTGAAGCTGGGACTAAAGCCAGGTCCCCTAACAATGAGTTTAATGAACCTCTCCTATATTTAAAAAAACAAAACAAAACAAAACAAAACAAAAACCTTTTTTTTATTGGTTCTCTGTAAATTTCACACCATGTACCCTGATCCCAATTATCTCCTCCTCCTCTGGTGTCTACCCTCCATCCTTGCAACCTCACACCCAACAGAGAAAAATAAACCTTGTGGAAGCTGTAGTGTGTCACTGTGTATTCCACAGTACACCCTTTTGTTTAACTTCTTTGGTTGCAAATGTTCATTGCAATGACTCAGCGGTCTGGTACAAGGCCTCTGGCTTCTGCTACTCCAGCTACAGTGGGTTCTCACTGGGACTCCTCTCAGGCATCCTGTTGTTGTTCAGTAGTTTTGGATCTGTAGAACCAGCCCCTTCAGGCACTCCAGCAGTCTATTGAGGGGATAGATGTTTTCGGTGGGCCAACTCAAAGCCCTGGATCTGGGCCTGAGAGGTATCTGAGATGGTTGATCTGGTGGCCTTCCCGAAACCCTGCAGCCGTGGCCAGCTCTACCGAGCTGGCCAGGTGAGGTGCAGGGCCCGCTCTTCTGAGTGTCGTGTCGCAGTGAAGGGCACGACCAGTTCTCCCACTCTCAGGACCAGCTCTCCTGCTTGCCATAGATGGCAGGACGAGGTAGGGGAGGAGGGTCTCTCTTCCTCGATGAAACCACTACTGAACAGACAAGAGGCAGGGCTGACTCTCCTACTCTCCTGTCCTCGGAGCCTGCTTACCTGCAACCCTCACACCCTGGTAGAGCTGGTAGGGCCAGCTCTACCATGCTGCCCAGGTAAGGTGCAAATCCTGCTCTCCCCAGTGCTGCAGCAGGTGAGGGGCAGGGCCAGCTCTCCCACTTTGATGACCTGGGGGCCAGCTCTCCGGCCTGCTAGAGGTGGCAAGGGGGGCAGGGAGGGGCAGGGCAGGGGCATCTCTTCCTTGCCTTGGTCACCACACAGGCAGACAAGTGGGGGGGTGTCAGCTCTCCCACATTCATACCCTTGGGGCTGGCTTGCCCGTGCCCTTGCCAAGGTCAGCTCTTCTGTGCTGCCCAGGTGAGGTACAGGGCCAAGTCTCCTGCTCTCATGACCCCAGGACCTGTCACAGGTGGTGAGGAGTGAAAGGGGAAGAGGGTTCTCTTTCTCATCCATGCCACTGTTTGAGAGACAGTGGTAAGGCCGGCTCTCCCACACACTTGTATCCTGAAACTCCCACAATGTGTGGGGCTGCCCTCCTAAGTACTGCAGCTGGCTAAGCATGGGGTCAACACTCCTGCTCTCATGCCCCCAGAGCCAGCTCTCCCATGATGCTCAGGTGAGGGATGGGGCCAGTTCTGCATAGCCCTCAGATATCAGTATTACCCCAGGGTGGCATCCCGGACCAGGGACATCCTCTTGATCTTTGGTGGTAACAGACCCCTGCTGCTGCAGGGCCACAGACCCAGATGTGACCACCAGTGGCAGTACAGGCCGGGACCCAACCATGGTCCCAAGTGGCATCACCAGCAACTCACATCAGGCCGTTCCTAAGTGCCCTCGAATCTTCAGTTCTGCCTCTCTTCATTATGCCCACATTCTTCTGCTTCTCTTTCCCTTCCGTTTCTCTACCACTTACTTGCTCCTCTTAGTATTGCCTGGGGTCTCTGAATGGCTCAGTCATCCCAGGAGGGGTCTCAGGAGCGCTATGGCCCACTTCTGTGTTACGGTGCTGGGCAGCGGTCATCTCGGGTGTGGTCTCTCCTCCTTCCCGAGGCCTGTGCAGCACGGAACTGGTGGTCGGTTCAGGCTATCTCCCTGTTCAGGCACCATGTGCCAGTCTGGTGGTTGCCTCAGGCTGGCTTCTCACCCTGTGTGCCCTTTTGTCACTCGAAGGCTCACGTGCACCAGGTTCTTCTAGTCTCCAACTTTGTCCCCATCCTGGGAGCCCTCCCTGGCCTGCCTGGCGTGGGATTGGTGGTCATCACAGGCTCAAAACACTGAGCATGTGACAGCCTTGCCCCTCTCTGCCACCTATTGACGCACATGCGACACTGCAGCCACAACGGCAACACCTCTGGAGGCAGGGGATCTTTCCCATCTCATGACGAGGGTTCAGGCTCCAGCCGACCCAACACCAAGGACCCACGACTGCAATGCTCACAGGCTTCATGGTCTTGACCAAATCTTTGAACCAAATCTTCTGGCCTTTGGCACACTCATGTATAAGACAGGAATAATGCTACCTAAATACCTCATAGGGAACATGTGTCCAAAGCGGGGGAAAATGTATGGAAACGCTTGAAAAGCCTTCCTTGAGAAGGAAGTTTGGGGATTACTTTTTTGCATAAAAACCAGAATGTCACTGCTGGGGAGGGGGTTCAGCAGGTGAGATCCCTCACTGCCATTCTAGGGGACCCAGATTTGGTTTCCAGGAGCCACATGGTGGCTAACAACTACCTGTAACTCCAGTCCTAGGGCATCTGGCACCCTCTTCTCGCCTCTGTGCATACATGAGGTGCACAGGCATAAGCGCAGTCAAAACACCCCTGCTCATAAAGTGACAATAAATAAATATTTTAAAATGCAAGCAAAAAGTAAACAACAAAAAAAGTAACAAAACAAACAAACAAACAAAACACAGCAACTTTACATTTTTTGCACATCCTAAACAGGGCTCTCAAATTGGTCACTATCCCAAGCCATTTTGTCTTTCTTCTAACTGGTATTTTGTTCTTTGAGAGAGCCTCGTATTCTTGCTTTATCTAAGGCTAGCCTTGAACTCCTGATTCTCCTGCCTCCATGCCCTGAGTGCTGGGATGATTGGCATGCACCCCAGTGCACAGCTCCCCTCTCCAGTACTTATTTTAGATGGCTTGTGGGTTAGAAGACAGACCAGCGATGATTGTGAAAACAGGAAACCTTTCTTTTGTGGAAAAACGGTTTTAAAATACAGTATTTTTAGGAATTCTTCAAGAAGTTTGGGCATGTATTTTGAGCATATTCACCACTTTGCACCTCTCCCCAGCTCGCCTCAGATCTGAGAAAATACATTTTAAAAAGCTCGAACATTGCTACTCTTCTGTTTCCTCCTCTAAACGTAGATCAGAAAAACTATGGAGACTTCAAAGGCGGCTAAAGAGCAAATGCTGATCAAGCAGCACAAGAAGGTGTGGCGTCAGGAGCAGGAGCGGCTGAAGGGAGTCAGGTGAGACAGGACCCCCACCCCCCAGGTCGGTGAGAATGGGTGGGAACCCCTGGGGTTTCACATCTATAGTGCCTGATCTTAGTTAAACCACACAATCAGAACTGAGAGTTGTTTGAAGGTGAGCGACGTTTTCTTATCTCACTCTGAACGGAAAGCAGGGTGTGTATGGAGATGCTTTTGCTTCCTGATGGGCTAAGGGACAGTCACCTCTATCTGCCACTTTCACCCTCTTTTGTACCCCCTGCTTCAGGCTCGGCTGTGTGTATGTATCACACACTGATACTGGCTACAGGCTTCTCTCTATGTAAAGCAGAGGCCCCTCAGGGGCAAATGTCACAGTCACCGTTTCACAGTGGGCACACGGAAGGTTAATAAATGCCCTCAAGACACGGGAACTGAAGACTTAAGGTGGCTCACTGTTGGCTCCATGTTGCACTGTGACTCATGAAATTTTGATTTGCATCCTGCTACTATTTGTAGCCATCAAAAATGAATTAAGACAAAATAATAATTCGACATTTGATCTTAAATATCAGCACTGCAGAAATAGTTTTCTTTTCAAAAGTTAAGATGGAGAGAGAAAGCAGATGTCTTTCTCCACACTTGAGGCTTGCTCATTTGCTCTGACAATGCATTATTTATAAACTCTGCTTTAAAAAAAAAATGTCATTACATGTACTTACTCTTAGGAAGACAGAGCGTTGTTGCGGTTGTAGCCTAAGTCAAGTTTCCGAATTCCATTGCCTTTGCCTCCAACTTGTGTGCTTTCGTGTCAATGAGAGGTTCTTACTCTGTCTGTGATCCCCACATGCAAGGTGCAGGGCTCACGGCTGAAGAGGGAGTTAGATTAGGATGAAATTTATAACAGGAAAAGAAAACACCATAAATTGCACAGCATCCTTAGGCTACAAAAACCAAATTTGAAGGGTTTGGCACACACCAAACCGTTCAAACGTCATCTCTAATAGAAAAAAAAGTATTTGAGAACACTAAAATTTTTTTTTAAATTTGCATAACTTGAAATGCAATAAAAAGGAAAGCCTCTTGTTAGCTTTAATATAATGGACACCAAGGCAAACACAAACAAAAGAAGACTCTTTCCTTCCTTTCTTTCTTTCTTTCTTTCTTTCTTTCTTTCTTTCTTTCTTTCTTTCTCTTTCTCTCTTTCTCATTTTATAAACCTTGGCCATTCTACTTCTTCCCTAATGTGTGGACTGAGTTGATCTTGAGCCAGACAGATGAGTCACATGCATACCATTATGGAAACTTGTTCTGTTGGCTGAGCTTGGAGGGCACAGAGGGGTTGAAGGAGGGGAATTCTCCAGGGAGGACAACTTCGAGGACTGCAAACCTATAAACCCTGGACAGAAGAAAGAATGCCAAGATAATTTTCTGTGTTATTCTAGAATGTGAGGTAATTATTGTATACATCCAGTGAAACAGAAAACTAATAGCAATAGGAGACCTGTTAGAGAAGTGGCTAGATTTGCGGGAATGAAGGGACCTTAGGCAGATTCGTAGTTGAAGAGCTGTATTGGTCTACCTCGGGAAATCTGCCTGGCACAAGGGATGGCACCTGTAATCTCAGCACTCAGCATGCTGAGGCAGGAGCAAGTTCCAGGCTAACCTGGCGAGTCCCTGACAAATATATAAACAAACAAACAAATAAATAAATGAAACACACAAATCTGTACTTCCTTTAATGAGGAAAAGCTAGCATGTGGGAAGCTGGGGTTGAAACAATGGTATTTTTTCCCCCTGTTTTCCATTATCTGGGAGTGGACTGCCTCCCCTCCCCCCCAAATATTCCATTTACGTAAAGGTAGATCTAGTTCTCCAGCCTTGCTAGTCAAAACCAAGGGAGGATGGTGGGCTGGGAGACAGTTCAGTTGGTAAAGAGCTTGAGAGGGAGGGAGACACAAGGACCCAGGCTCCATCTCTACTACCCATATGATAAAAGCCTGGCATGATGTGAGGACCAAAGAATCCTTGGAGTTGGCTGGCCAGCAAACCCAGCTGGGCAGGCAAGCTCCAGGCTGAGTGAGAAACCCTCTCTCAGAGAATAGGCTGAGGGCGGGAGAGCTGGCTCAGCTGCTGAGAGTGCTGGCTGCTCTTATTGAGGACTCAGGTTAGAATCCCAGGACCCACAGGAAGTCTGGCAATTGGCTGTAACTCCAAGCCCAGGGTACTAGACATGTACAGCGTGCACCTACATACGTGTTAGCAGGCTTATACATATGTGTCAGCAGAACACAAAACATAAATCAATCTTTTTTCTTTATTATTATTATTATTTATTACAATTTATTCACTTTGTATCCCAGCTGTAGCTGCTTCCATCATCTCCTCCTGGTCCCACCCTTCTTCCCTCTTCCCCCACCATGTCCCTCTCCAAGCCCACTGATAGGTGAGGTCCTTCTCCCCTACTATGTGACCCTAGCCTATCAGGTCTCATCAGGACTGTCTGGATCCTCTTCCTCTGTGGCCTAGTAAGTCCACCTACTAGGGCAAGGTGATCAAAGAGCTAGCCACTGAGTTCATGTCAGAGACAGTCCCTGTTCCCCTTACTAAAGAACCCACTTAGAGACTGGTTTGCCGATGGGCTACATGGGCAGGGCATCTTGGTCCTCTCCACTCCCAGTCCTATAAGTAATCTTTTAAATATTAAAAAATGAGGTGGAGAGTGATTAAAGAAGATGCCTAATGTCAACCTCTAGCCTCTACTAGTAAACATATATGCATACACATATATGTATGCACAAGTTAGTACCTTGAAATATGCACTTAGGGAACTAGATAAAATTTCCAAGTATCAAGTTTGTTTACTATTTAAAGTTGTAAAGTTTAATCAGAAGTTTGGAGAGCTTACTCAAATTATTTTCCCTGTGGAGTCTATAACATGTTCCCAGGAGCCTTTCCTGCCATTTCCTTCTGTGACACAGTGAGCTTTGGTGCAGTCATTTGTAGACTCTATGATATATCACTGTCTGTAGTGCAGCCATTTTGCTGATGGTTCAACGGGTGAAGGGTGCGTCCAAGTCCTGTACAGACCTCACCCTTGCCTGAGAGTTCAAAGATCTGGGTGGGGAACTGGTTCCCTCGGATCACCAAAGAAGCACAACAGTTCCCTTTTCTGGCAATTTATGGACCTATTTTTGTTTCCTCGGCCCCCAAAATAGAAGGAGCCAATCTGGTTGTGTGAGTGCTATGTTTGTGTGTAAACAACTCTGTTTTAAAGTGAATTCTGATTAAATTCTGAAAAAAATGTTGGACAGTTTTGGTGTATGACTTAATTCCAGCACTCACGAGGCAGAGGCAGGCAAATTTCTGAGTTTGAGGCCAGCCTGGTCTACAGAGGGAGTTCTAGGACAGCCAGGGCTATAAAACAAACAAACAAATGAATGAATAAATATGTACATACATACGTACATACTAATAAAAAAGCATCCACTCTACACGCAACAGTTGCAGATATGCTCTTAGGAACAAAGGCTTGGGGAATGGCTCAGCTGGTAGCGCTTAGTTAAAATGCCCAAGAGGCTGAGTTTGAGCTCCAGAAACCAAGTGTAAAATAAAGCTAGAGTCCAGCATGCGCTTGTGATCCCTGAGCTGCAGAGGTGAAGACAGATGGAGTCCCGGGCTCACTGGCTAGCCAGTCTGGCCTATTGGGTGACGTACAAGCCAGTGAGAGTTACTGTCTCAAAATGGTAGACAGAACCTAAGGAAAGACACTTAAGGTTGACCTCTGGTCTTTTGAGCACACACTCAAGCACATGAAGATATATACATAGAGGTGCACACAGAGGTACATCCTCCCCCCATTTCTGGAAAAAACTACCTGCTGAGAGATAGAGAAGTATCATGAGGAGAGCCTTTCTCCTTTATTCACACATACGAACTGGCTTGAAAGGTGATGGCACGTTTACATATGAATACTCCTGAAAAGTGCTTGGGAATAGTGTAAAACATCAGCAATAAGCAAAGTAACTCCATAAAGCTACAACAGGAATTGTTACACATGCTGTTATTTCAACTATATAAAATTCATGTAGTCAGAGAAAATAATAATCATATTAAACTATTATAATAACTCCAATTTTTCATGGCATTTTAATATTAAGGTATACATTAACAACAAATCTCAAATTTATTTATATTAACAAGGGGCATAAAAATATAATTGTGTTGGGTTCTCACCTAGAGGTTATTATGGTTTTACTCTAAGAATGAGTGTATCTTTAAAAATTTAGTAAAAGTTTGTAAAGATTTATTGATCATTCCTGGATAAAAACAAAATATTCTTTTGTTCCCATTTGCCTGAGTCAGACATCACCTCTGAACTTCCTGGCTTCCATGTGAATCCAGATGGTCCTCTCGCCTCCTCTTCAGCTACCGTCCCTACTACTTGCCCCTCATCTCCAACCTGCTGCCTTGGGAATCTTTCTGAGCTGAATACTGAACTTGGGGTGCCTTCCAGGTGCCCTGGGGTGTTTAATGTGGCATGCTGCCAAGACCTGCAGGGGCTGCTGCCCATGTTAGGAGCTCAGAACAGGGCTCCAGGAAGTGAGCAAAGCCAAAATCGACGAACTGTTCCCACCCCACTCGCTTTGAAGCCTATATGCATGATTATGACTATAAAGAAATTGATTGAGATCATGTCTGTTTCAGATGTAAATTGGAGTCTGAAATAAAATCTTGTCTCAATGAGGAGAGCATTGGAAACGAATGTTTTTGTGAGCTTATGAATTTTGGTGAGTATCTTCTTCTTCTTCTTTTTTTTTTTTTTGAACCTGCATATAAAGGGGAATTTTATTCGGAACTATGAAAGTTGGTCCCTCACTTCATGCTCTTTTAATAGTAACACCTGTCTGTTTTTTTTCTAAACAAATATAAAAAGTCTATAAACTAGCAATCTGTTCTTTACTTAAAATAATAACATGTCTCCTTGATTCAATTTAACTTCACACAGAAAAAGAGCTGTCAGAACAATGGTACACATATCTTAAAGCTGTGATTGACCCTATTCACCAAATGAGAACAGGCCTGAAGAGACAGTACCATACTTCCCAGTATGCACCCTACAGTAAGGGATCTAACTCACCATCGGTTCTGGAAGAGGTCAGTATGTTGCTTTTTAAAAACATAATGTTGGGCTGGAGAGATGGCTCAGTGGTTAGGAGCACTGGCTGCTCTTTCAGAGGAGCCAGGTTCAATTCCCAGCACCCACATGGCAGGTCACGACTGTCTGTAACTCCAGTTCCAGGTAATCTGATAGCCTTATACAGACATTCATGCAGGAAAACAACAACACACACAATGTAATGTATTTTGTCCCAAATAGAAGAGTTGAAGCAACCATCTCCCTTGGGTGGTTAAGTAGAGGACTCCTCAATATCAGCATTTGACTGAGTATGTCCAGGCACCCTCATTTAACTCATCCTCCTGCCATCATCCTTGCCCCTCCTCCCAGCACATTTTGAGGTCCTGCCCCAGGACAGAGAGATCAAGTTGTCTGACTACTGAACCCTTCATAGGCTCTTCATAGTCCTTAAGCCCACGACAAGCCCCTTCATCGAATCTTCCTCCTTCCATCACATCTCCTCTGTGACACTGTCCCATCTCACGTGAGCTTGGTCCCACAGAGGATGACCTTCTTGCTGTGCCCTTCATGTGTCAAACCTACTCTTGTCCCAAAACCCTTAGGCCAACTCTTATCTCTGTCAGGATGATGACATCTTCTGCCTGTTAATTCTTTGCTGACCGTGTTGTTCCCAAATGGTCATCCTGGGTTCATACTTCTTTTCTCCCCTGCCTGTCTCTTTGTGTGCCTTTGTTTACTCATTTGTTATGGTAGGTGTAGGAGCTGAACTCTCATCTCTCTACTGGTCAGCTGTCCTATAATGCTACACTGCTCTCATAGATAATAAAAAGCTTTAGCTGTGCCTAGCTGTAGACCAGTAGCAAGGATTCTTGAGAGCAAGAGTCTGACTGAAGTCCTACCATCAATGATTCCAAACATGGAACAGGGCTGCTGTGGCTATAAAGCAGAGAGCCCTAGTTTGGTCAAAGGTCTGGAATCCTCACTGAGGCTTGCTTGTTTGATAAGCCTTGTCTTTCTACTGCTCTTTTCTTCATAGACCTTCAAAAGGACTATCCCTCCTTTAATTTTTCACCTTCTACTGGCTTCTGAGATGGTGTCTTTCAATAGAAATAATCTTGGGTGAACTGCAGCAATTCACACACTTCCTGACCACATGCCACACACCCTCTAGGTTGACTTGGTCAAGAAACAATCCAAGGCTGCCTTTGAGAGGCTTAATCAGGAGCAATGGAACACAGAAAAAGACCTTTCAGACTGGAGTGCGAAGGTAAGTGTAATGCAACGGTGATTGACTCGTTCCCCCATTTTTCATTTTTGTTAAACAAAATAATCATTCATTTCAGTTACTAGATTATTCTTCAGAAGAAAAGGCCAACCTGCTCAGCGAACAGCCCATGGAGTTAGAAACTTTGGAGTGCCCATACCCTGACCTGAAATCGTCAATCCTTAATGAGTTCTATGACTTTACAGAGGAATATCAAGAGAAACTTGGATCTTTTGATCTGCAATTGGAAGACATACGCAGGTGATCAGCTATAACTCCCTGACTCCTTAGTGATGGATTTAAATTTGTGTTCAGGGCCATTGTACTTCTAGTTACAAGTGATTGTGATATGGTCAACATAGGTTTGGGCTAGTTTGTTGGATGAAAAGATTGGGTCCTATATTGCTTATTATTTTTTTGTGGTGCTAGGGCTGTAAAGCAGGGCCTTGTAAGTATTAGGTGAGTGCTGCTACAGCACTACTCTTCTGGCCACTGGTTTCTGAGACAGGGACTCATTTTGTGCCATACACTGCTCTGGCAGTCACTTGCAGTGTCTTCTGGTCTCACACCAATGGGTCCCCTTTCTTAGCCTTTCAAGTGCTGGAGTTACAGACATGTACCATATACCCAACTGGAAAGAATGTTGTGTGTTTACTTTGCTTTTTCTTGCTTTCAAGGTATTTTCTTGAGACCAAGGCTTGTAAGAGTTGTATTGAGCCTAGTGTGGTGGTACACACCTTTAGTCCCAGCCCTTGGAAGGCAGAGGCAGGTGGATCTCTGTTCTGGAAAAACAGAAAGCTCATGCAATATTTTGCATATTACCCACAAGCTTTTAATGCAAGTGATTATATGTTTTATTTTATGAATATCTATTGGAAAATCCATAATAGACAGTGGTATCTGTTAAGCTCCTTTGAAAGAGGTTCAAGAAGGAGGTTCTAGATTAGTTTAGGAAATGGCTTTGCCTCTTAGAAGACCAGAATTTTATTTGGGGAAGAAATGTAGATAGGTGCCCTAACCAAATATGATTTACATGCAGAAATTAATAGAAGAAAAGAAGAACATTCTGGCAGTAAACAAGAAAGCACTGGTAAAGCCCAAAAAGTTTTCAAGGAAGGTTTCTCAGAGGAGGAAAGATAACTTTAGAGGTGGTTTGCAGCACTCATTTGCAGCTTTGAGCACAAAGGCATATAAATACACTCTCTAATTAGCAGAGTGAATGACATAATTATAATACTAATTGAACCTCCAATCTATCAGGATCTTGATTTACTTTAGTATGACTATTTTTCTTTTTACTTCTTGCTGTTGGGACTCGGGAGAATTCTCGTGGCCTGTGTGTGTGCACATCTGTGGGACTGTGTACATTATTTATGTATTTATTTTTATTTTAGTTTGGTTTTTGGCTTTTTGAATCAGGGTTTCATTATGTAGCTTTGGCTGCCCTGGAACTCACTAGACCAGGCTAGCCTTGAACTCACAGAGATCCACCTGCCTCTGCCTCCTGAGTGCTGGGATTAAAGGCCTCTGCCACCACACCAGGCTAAGAGGGTATATACTTTATAAGGGCTATTTGTCCATACTACCATATTAAGCCAGTGTGACCTGGGTTTTTAGTTGTTTCTAAAAACTTTCTTATTTGATAGTTTTCAAACTTTACTCAATTGTTATTTAATGATTTATCTCTATACAGAAGCTTGCTGGAACCTATTCAGTCACGAAACATATCTTCTTCATAGTTTCCATAGCACAAGAACATATCAAACAAATGTACTTATAAATACATATACATTGCTTTGCATTTCTCGCAGCAGTGAAAGGGTGAGCAAAAACCTTTAAAAGACTGACTGGACTTGTGGATGATGGCCATAGAAGTTATTTTATAGGTGAAAAAGCAGGAAAATGTACACTTACGAAATGGACAACATTGAGGAGTTGCCGCAAACGTAGAGCCAAAGAGAGCAGTAGATAGTGCATCTTGTGTGAGGCAGAAAGGAGGAGGCTTGGACACAGTCACTCACAGCTTTGCCTTTGTGTGTGTGCAGCAATGCACAACACTCAGTAGCATTCATTGGCTCTTGGGGAGGGAGACCTCAGGTGAGGTTGCAGGGCCACCTTCATTGGCTAAAACAAGTAATTTTTTAAGACATATAATAAAATAACAAAGGTTAAAAAAATATCTACAAACAAAAAATGTTGGCAACAAATGAGATGGAAGATATTAAAATAACTGATATATAAAAATACTTTGAAAACCAATTGAATAATAAGCAACACAATAAAAAATAGCAAAGGAGATGAAGAAAATTATTCTTAATTCCTGCAAATACTTATGTGGTATCTACAAGCATAAATTCTCAATACTTGTCTTAGTTTGTGCTCTATTGCTGTGAAGAGACACCATGACCAAAGAAACCCTTAAAAAGTAAACCAGTTAACTGGGGCTGGCGTATAGTTCAGAGGTTTTGTCCACTATCATCATGGCAGGAAGCAGGTAGTATGTAGGCAGACATGGTGTTTGAGAAGTTGCTGAGCGGTCTGTATTTGGATCAGCAGGCAGCAGGAATAAAGAGAGCCACTAGGCCTGGCTTGGGGTTCTGAAACCCCAAAACCCACTTCCAGGGACACACTTTCTCCAAAGATCACACCTCTTAATTCCTCTTAAGTAACATCACTCCCTAAGGACTAAGCATTCAAATCGATGAGCATATGGAGGCTATTCTTCTTTAAATCACATTTGTGATCAAGTTGGCAACACACAAAAGTGTGGACCCGGTTCATGAAGCAATTTTGCTCTATGGTATTAGAAGATGGTAAGTGCTGCAAAGGCATAGATTAGAGTCAGAGCACATGCTGAGATTTTAGAAGGCAGATTGCAGTTCTAAAAACAAACAAACAAACAGAAAAAAAAACCAAACCTTGGTACTAGGTCCCAGTTGGACAATGACATGATGAGAAATAATGAAGTGGGTTGAGAGAGCTGATCATGCAGACATTGGACATAAGAACATCATAGCCCATGTTCAAATGGGAGGTGTGAGTGTGTCCAACAAGAGTCCAGTGTCTGGCAATCCAGCAACAGATCAGCAGAATATTTGGATGAGGTTCAAAAGATAAGAGTGAATGATAAGCTATTATTTATGTTGCGTATGTGTGTGGGTGTGGGCATGTATTGCTGGGAGTTGATCTCAAGGCCTCGTGCATGCTCCCTCATCCAGTGATGTACCATTGAGCTCCAGTCTCACCCACAAAGTAAGTTATTTAGAGACATTTTCCAACTTCATCTTTTTTGTGAGTGACTTTGAAGCCCTTAGACTAGTGGTTATCAACCTTCCCAATTCTGCAACCCTTTAATAAAGTTCCTCATGTTATGATATCCCCCAGCCATAAAATTACTTTTAGTGATGCTCCATCACTGCAATTTTGCTGCTGTTATGAGTCATAATGTAGATATCTGATATGCAGGGTATCTGAAATGCAGGCCCCTGTGAAAGGATCACTCATCACCCAAAGGGATCTGTGACTCACAGGTGGAGAACCCCTGTCTTAGATGGTGTTGAGCAGAAGAGAGCAGTGTAAAGCCCTGGTTCATGTTGTGACAGAATCACATTTTACATTTATTGTGCTTAATGATGGTGGGGGCGGGGCACAAGAATAGATTGGACACATAAAAGTTGTTAACCTGTCTTAAAATATAAGGGGGAGAATGATATGTATTCAACATCAACTCTGGCCTCCCTGTGCACATACGCGTATGCACACACCTTACATTTACACACAGTCTTTATAATGGGTGAATAACATGTGTCTCTTTAGAAATAACACTGAAGAAAAAAACTATTAAAGTGAAATAAACATTTGACCTCAAGGCTGTTAGAGATTAACTTTTCTCTTCTTTCTGGTAGCAAAATCTTCAAGACTATCTGTGCTGGTTAGTGTTTGGTCAAACACATGAGCAGAGGAGATGACAGTGGTCGTGATCAAGGTGGTGGGGAACCTTGAGCTTTGGACATGATTTCAGGGTCGAGCAAAAGCATCTGCTGGTCAGCTTTTCAAAGAGTCAAAAAAGTAAAAGTGCAGAGAACTGTAGGAGTTGCCTGCCACACTTGGATTGTTTGGATTGGGCATCAAAGAGGATGGGAGTGGGCAGGCAGACTCTGTAGGGGTCGAGGGGGAAGGAATCGGGTGTCCAGGCTTGGACATGCTGAGTTTTATGTAAACATTTTGGGCTTTGTGAGTTCAGAGTCCAGGAAGAAGATCTGGTTTAGAGTTATACTCTGTGAGTCATTAACATGAGATTTGATATGGTCACCAAAGCAATGATTCAGGAAAGAAAAGAGGCCCAAAACTCCTCTCCAGACTTGTAACCAGGACAGTATCAGAGAAAAGAAAAGAGGGAGAAGCAGCCAAAGATAAATAGACAGATAGATAGATAGATAGATAGATAGATAGATAGATAGATAGATAGATGACAGATCGATAGATGGATAGATAGAATAATGTAGAGAGACAGGGAAGACAGATGAAGACAAAGCAGCCTGTACTATATGCCAAAGGAGGTGATGGCTCACTGAATAATTGCTACATATTTCAGTCAATGACTGAGAGCTGTTTGGCTCTAAGAGGAGAGTGTTGGTAGCCATTTTCATTGAAGAAGCAGATATAAATGACTGTCTGAAGTGGGTTTGAATGACTGGGAAGGGAAGGACAGAAGACAATGATGGTAGACAACTTGAGGATTTTTTTCTGCCAAGGAGATCAGGGTTTCCTTTTGCTGTTGAGTTCCCCACTCTCTTATATTTTGGTTTCGTTTAAAATGGGAGCAACAGAAATGTGTTTGATGTTTACGGGGATAATGGAGTAAGGGATAAACTTCAGGAAAGAGGCAGGGTAGGAAGGAGGAGGGAAGAAGGGAAGGAAGGAGGGAAGGAGGGAGAGCGAATGAGAGAGAGAGACTGAGTGATGTTGGGGTTGAGGAGACTTGGGATTAGCACAGGTGACTCATGCCCTGAGTAACTGAGGTGGGGACAAGTGTTCCAGATCACGTGATTCAGACGCTGTGTGATGAGATGTCACACTGTCCTGGAACTCCACAGTTGTAATTCTAAACACAAATGAGTCAGAAACTTATGAACCCCTGTACTTATCAGAGAAATGGAAAAATAAAACAAGACTCAAATATTTGCCTTGTAAGAATGGCCAGTACTTTATCCAGGAATAAAAATAGTATGAGGGAAATGGCTATTTACATATGACTGGCA